AATATATTGTACGTGAGTTGGGTCTCCTGTCCAACCTCGTGGGTTTTCTCCGGGTCCTCCGGTTTCCTCCCACTGCTAAAGACCCCTATACGTAAGCGAATTATTGAAATAAAATTAAACCATATGTTAGTCCCGAAATGACCTAGTTTGTGTCGAGTGGACGTTAAACCCCATCTCTCTCTCTCGCTCTCATAATATATTGTATATTTAATTGCCGTGACGTATAGCCTTCTAATCCTATCGTCTCGTAACCTTGTCAACCTGCATGTCATATCGTCTTATCAGCCTTATTGGACATGTTATCATTTTTCATATCTTAAAGGGTTTTTTTTGTTTAGGAATTGTAGTCCTTCACAAACTCAGTATTTTGAAGGTTGAATCTGTAAGAGTATACTAGGTTCAGCATGACCTACAGCTATAACCCATCAATGTCAACAATGTAATGTTGACACACCCATTTTGTAAATAGCAAAAACATTAACCAATTTATGTAATTTATTATGGTTAATTCAACTGGAGGAATAGAGTAAGCTAAAATAATTACATTTGTAGTTGCAGGAAGACCCCACCACATACAAACAACACACATAGGACAAATCTTACAAACTATACAGACACTGCAAGCAATGAACAACAAAGTGAATATTATTGTAATCAAAACCACCCCTCTTGACTCAATGACAAACCTTATGATTTCATACGCACGCGCAAACAAAAAAGATACACAGGCATATAAACAACGAATAGAGAGATAGAGAGAGAGAGAGAGAGAGAGAGTATGGGTTTTAACGTCCACTCGACACAAACTAGGTTTTTCCGGGACTAACATATGGTGCAATTTTATTTCAATAATTCGCTTGCGCGTAGGGGTCTTTAGCAGTGGAAGGTAACCGGAGGACCCGGAGAAATCCCACGAGGTTGGACAGGCGACCCAACTCCATGTCACGTACAACCGGGGAATCGAAACCACGCCAGTTGACTCAATGACATACCTTATGATACAAAGCGCACACGCTAACCATTAGTCCCCCACCCCCACAAACAACAAGCATACATATCATATACAGTGACAAGATACATAGACATATAAACAATGAGAATACATATCAAATATAGCGAATATAGATTGTTGTCTCGATTTCGCCTCTAATTTCATTTACACACTGGATTTAGTACATACACTAATTGCGTTAGATAATGAAAATGACCTATTCATACCAGGTTCTGACAGATCACAGTATAAAAACACTAGAACTAACCCTGTTATTAGATATAAACTTAAAAACATAATATTCCACCACCCCCCCATCCCACCACACTGAATTAACACCATTACTAGAGAGACATTTAATGTACCCCCCTCCCCTTACCCCTTAGAATTAATATACCCCCTCCCCTTACCCCTTAGAATTAATATTATTATTAGTATTATTAGATAGAAACATTAAAACATGATGTGATACTCCTAGAATTAACATTATTATTGGATTGAACCTAAAACATAGAATATCCCCCCCCCCCCCGAATTAACATTATTATTAGATAGTAACATAACATTAACCCCCTAGTATTAACATTATTATTAGATAGTAACATAATATAAGCACCCATTAGATAGTAACATAATATAAAACCCTAGTATTAACATTATTATTAGATAGTAACATAATATAAAACCCTAGTATTAACATTATTATTAGATAGAAACATAATATAGAATTAACATTATTATTAGATAGTAACATAATATAAAACCCTAGTATTAACATTATTATTAGATAGTAACACAATATAGAATTAACATTATTATTAGATAGTAACACAATATAGAATTAACATTATTATTAGATAGTAACATAATATAAAACCCTAGTATTAACATTATTATTAGATAGTAACATAATATAAGCACCCATTAGATAGTAACATAATATAAAACCCTAGTATTAACATTATTATTAGATAGAAACATAATATAGAATTAACATTTTTATTAGATAGTAACATAATATAAACCCCCTAGTATTAACATTATTATTAGATAGAAACATAATATAGAATTAACATTATTATTAGATAGTAACATAATATAAACCCCCTAGTATTAACATTATTATTAGATAGTAACATAATATAAGCACCCATTAGATAGTAACATAATATAAAACCCTAGTATTAACATTATTATTAGATAGAAACATAATATAGAATTAACATTTTTATTAGATAGTAACATAATATAAACCCCCTAGTATTAACATTATTATTAGATAGAAACATAATATAGAATTAACATTATTATTAGATAGTAACATAATATAAACCCCCTAGTATTAACATTATTATTAGATAGAAACATAATATAGAATTAACATTTTTATTAGATAGTAACATAATATAAACCCCCTAGTATTAACATTATTATTAGATAGAAACATAATATAGAATTAACATTATTATTAGATAGTAACATAATATAAACCCCCTAGTATTAACATTATTATTAGATAGAAACATAATATAGAATTAACATTATTATTAGATAGTAACATAATATTAACCCCCTAGTATTAACATTATTATTAGATAGTAACACAATATAGAATTAACATTATTATTAGATAGTAACATAATATAGAATTAACATTATTATTAGATAGTAACGTAATATAAACCCCCTAGTATTAACATTATTATTAGATAGTAACACAATATAGAATTAACATTATTATTAGATAGTAACGTAATATAGAATTAACATTATTATTAGATAGTAACACAATATAGAATTAACATTATTATTAGATAGAAACATAATATAAACCCCCTAGTATTAACATTATTATTAGATAGAAACATAATATAGAATTAACATTATTATTAGATAGAAACATAATATAGAATTAACATTATTATTAGATAGTAACGTAATATAAACCCCCTAGTATTAGCATTATTATTAGATAGTAACACAATATAGAATTAACATTATTATTAGATAGAAACATAATATAAACCCCCTAGAAATAACATTATTATACGATAGAAACAATTGTATAAAACGGCAACGGGGAGCAACATAAATTACACAAATCTTATTATAAATATACGTATATAAGTACTTGATATTGTGCATTTTGAAAACAGCAGATGAATTATACAACCGTCAAACAAAAATATGTATCCATGTCAATGATTGATATGCATTATAATTATGATGATAAGGTACCCAGAGCGAATAGTTACTGAATAGTTTTACAGAAAAAAGTATCAATTGTCGAACTGGTTTATTGTTCTCGCTAAAATTAATTACAATGTTATTGACACCTTGTCAGAATTGCTTGATGAATTCTAACAATCTACATGCCAGCAAAATGCGGTATGTCCTCGAGCTTTGACTTTGCACTAGCAATATTAAATTCTATAACATTCCACACAAGTCGCGGTGTCAAACACTGTAACAGTCGACAACACAAGTAGCGATGTTAAATATTGTAACTATCGACAACACAAGTCGCGATGTTCAATACTGTAGCAGTCGACAACACAAGTAGCGATGTTAAATACTGTAGCAGTCGACAACACAAGTAGCGATGTCAAATCAAATACTGTACCAGTCGACAACACAAGTAGCGATGTTAAATACTGTAGACACGGTGCCCATAACCCTTCTTTATTTTCACGTTTTCGGGCAAAGCACACGTCTATATAACAGGTTGGGGTCTCAACCCAGTGTGTGAGGTGTAAGAGGTTGGGTACTCGATCCGGTGTGTGAGATGTAAGAGATTGGGGCGTACACGACCCGGTGTGTGGGGTGTATGAGGTTTAGGTACTCGTCCCGCTTGCGGTACTCGCTACGGACTGTGAGGTGTAAAGTGGTTGGGATACTGAACCCGGAGTGTGAGGTGTAAGAGGTTTAGGTACTCGCCCCGCTTGCGGTACTCGCTACGGACTGTGAGGTGTAAAGTGGTTGGGATACTGAACCCGGAGTGTGAGGTGTAAGAGGTTTAGGTACTCGCCCCGCTTGCGGTACTCGCTACGGAGTGTGAGGTGTAAAGTGGTTGGGATACTGGACCCGGTGTGTGGGGTGTAAGAGGAGTCACGTTGTTTATGAGTTGTAAAATGTTTGGTTACTCGACCCCGAATTTGAGGTGTAAGAGGTTGGAGTACTCGGACCGGTGTGTGAGGTGTAAGAGGTAGAGGTACTCGCCCCGCTTGGTGTACTTTACCCCGAATGTGAGTTTTAAGAGGCTGGTATACTCGACCTGGTGTGTGAGGTATAAAGTGGTTAGGGTACTCGACCTGGTCTGTGAGATGTAAGAAGTTTGGGTACTCGACCCGGTGTGTGGGGTATAAAAGGCTGGGGAACTCGCCCCGGCGTGTGATGTGTTAAAGGTTGGCGGTATTCGCTTAGGTGTGCGAGTATTTCGATTACTCGTTCCGGCATATAATAGGGTTGGGTACTCGTTCCGGCATATATAATAGGGTTGGGTACTCCTTCCATATTGGTTACACGATACCCCCACCATCTTTATGGACACACGTGTCCTATCCAGTTCGCACAAATAAACCATTTGGATAGTTGAAAACCGGCCATCAATCTCTATATGTTAGTTTGTTCTTCTTCTCCTGCTTCAGCATCTATCATTGACATGGACTATAAGAGATGGGGTGGGGCATTAGGAGTGCTGGGGTTTGGGGTGAGAACACGAGGGGTGCTGGGGCGAAGGGTGTGGACACGAGGGGTGTTGGGGCTGGGGTTGGGGGCACAAGGAGGACACGGGGAGTGCTTGGGCTCAGAGTCCAAATTTACTGGGATCTCATGGCATATTAAACATGCACTGAATAAAACATGATGAATGGAGAAGGGAAGGGTGGTACTGGTTGTGGACTGAGGGATTTATAAACACAATGTATTCATAATACACAAATATAAAATAATACATTTTATTTACAAAAACACAAGAAAAACAAAATAAAAATGGAGGTAAATTATATATACATAGATCAAGTTCAATAACAGTGACATAAATTTACATTTTTAAGTCTGTATCGAAATAATTAACCATGTTATTTTCAGGTTTCTACAATACTCATGGATTTTATAAATTTCTTGTATTTACAATGTCATCAATACTCATGGATTGTGATGACAAACATATTGATTGTTTTGATCTACGATTTTGAGGATGCATTTAGTGAATTCATGAATTGTGTTGATAAATTATACCTATACTGAATTCATGAATTGTGTTGATAAATTATACATATACTGAATTCATGAATTGTGTTGATGCATAAAATACTGAATTCATGGATCGTGTGATAATTATATTGAACCCATAGATTGTTATCATATTTTTTTATTGAATTCGTGGATCGGTGTGATAATTACATTGAAATCATGGATTAAAAGTATATATCTAAGTGAATTCATGGATTTAATAATATTTCACTTGAATCGTTTGACTAATCTTAGTGGATTTGATTTTATAATATTTTAATCTGTTAAATATCGCTATTGGTAATTGAGGTCTTTTTTCTGATATCAGTAAAATTGAAATCATCCTTATATGAATTACTAGAACTGGTGGTCTTTGAAACTTTTGATGTTGTTTTCCTGGTTTTGCAGCAGCAGAAAAGTTGTTTCCAGTAATCTCTGACTTTCTTATCTCTGGCAGTAAATAAGATAAATATGAGGAAACCCTGTAGAGAGTTGAGTACTGTGAATATATACTGAAACACCAGACGAGCATCTGATATTGCCAGAAATCCGAAAATCCAGGTTAATCCTAAAATATTAAAGATAGATATGAATGTAGATACTCATCTGCATTATCAATCTCGATGAAGGCAGACGTTAAGCCCATCGTTGACTTTGTGGTCCAATGGAAGTAGTCTCAATGCAGAAACTCCCCCGGCACATATACCAACGCCCTTTAAAAATCGGCGGATCTGGTTAAATGCATCTTCACTTAAGCATTCTAAGTTTGTGAGACAATTTATTTACCCAGGGTACTATAAAGATCATTAATACCACCAAGAGCACCAGCCCTATGTTGCTTTAGCTTTACAGATGGACAATAGTAAAACATATGAGGGCTGTAACACTATGACCAATCAGCTTTAGATAGTATTTAATTTCTCATGGTTAATATCAGTCAGGGTAGTAGCTAATTAGTTAAGTATTTAATCCATTATTGTTTATTTATGTTAATATCTCTAGGGATAATCCTGTATAGTATATGTTTTGATGTCAACACTTGAGCTTATCTATTTATAGTTAGAATATAAAAACGCTAATGTACATCAATAGGTACGAGTCATTAGGTCGTCCGACTTAGTAGCAGCTACGTCGGTCATGCACTGTGCTGGAAGTGTACATTGTATTATTGAATTATTCTCATATGTAAGACAAAAGTTCCAGTAATTATTGAAGAATAATTCCAGACATATTAATTATTAAAGAACCTAGCGGTTATAGTACCACATGTTTTATGGATTAGGACAAGACAGAATAAATATTTTAAAACTAAATGTTGCTCGACAATGTCAGGTGAAGTGAACAGATTATTCAACACTAGGCCCTGTTAAAATCTCATTTTAGCGCAATAGAAACCATGCCCAACAATGTCAGGAGATATAACATTTTGATTGTTTTTGCTTCTGCCATGTGTGTATACATAAATATATTGCAAAATTTTAACTCACCTAAAATAATAAAACAGCAGAACGAGGCTCTGATGTTAGTAACTGAGTGTTGGAGGCCTGTCGTGTTGAGATTTTTTCTGCTACAGATACTGCGCGTGACCAAGATATAGATGATAATATTAGCTAATATAATCAAACCAAGAGGTAGAGCAAAACCATAATACATTCCTTGTAGTCCCATCCAACAACTGGAATATAAGGGGAGGTAATTTACATATATTACATCAAGACACAAGTTGTTTTACAAACCAACAATGAGTCGTTCGGTTGAGACTAAAATCAGACGTCCCGTGTACACATTTGCGTGCACGCAAAATAACTAGTGGCAATTGAAATTCAAAAATGCCCCTAATAGTACACTTCATGGCGTATGCCAGTCTTCATTGGCTTAGTTTGTGCAGAAAAGTGGGACATTTACAAACCAAATTAGATTAAACGTATCATCAACCTAACATGTGGTATTTGTGTGCAAACAACGGAAACTCACTTTGTGGAAGCATTGATGTGGATCGTTAAATATACATCTTATGATCATTCTTATAGTTGCGAAACACACCTAGCTGTATTATATTATCATCACCCTACATCAATATAAATACTTACTATGTTTCACCACCGTTATACAGCTCTACATCAATGGCTAACATGATAGCAACTGGTATAACTGGTAAACCTGTCATATATAAATACATTTTTATTATTATAGTTGAAGGTATCTTTAGATGGCTTCGCAAATTATTTATAATGTTTTGGACTACTGAAACTATCTGGTTTGTCTTGTCCGCAGATTTGCCTTGTCGGTTTTGTTTTGGGAGATCGGTACACAAATTGTATTTGACCATGGTACATGATAAGGTATGACACTTTATGAAAGGTTGTTAAATTTCATATTCAATTTTTGTCACTAAAGATACCTAGTTGATTGATAATATTTTCTTACCCCAGGCTGGAATTGTCGCCTTAAGCATAAAATTTCTGACATAGGTTCCTAAGACTTTCACAAACAGAAAATATTGTAATATGCCTTCCATTAACATCCACACGAAGGACGCCATGATGAAATAATGTAACAAGACAGCAACAACAATACAACCCACGTGATCACCAGTCTGTTTAATTCCCGCCAAAAACACGATCCATGAAAACAACATGGCTAATGCTAAATTAAACATAATTTGTTGTGGTCGCCCTTCCCGTAGTTTTCTGGAAAAAAAGAAAGAATATGATACTTTCAAACCTTGTACCAATTGACGACTAGGTAATAACACCTTCCCAACTTCACCAACAATTAGTCGGGATTACAACACCGGTTTTGTTGAATAAATCCTCCCCGAGACCAACTGTTTCGTCTGGGGTTGTTTAATTATAGAATACTTTAGTTTATTTATTTAAATGGATATCGGGACCAATTATTATAGAACATCACTGTGTCAGTGTAAAATATGTAAATCAACAAATGAGTCAACTAGAATTTGTATAGAGCAAACAATATTTCAAATAAAGTTCCTTTTGAGCTTTAAAGTTTATGGGGTACTTTTATTGTTAATCATCGTCAATTAGATTGATTCTTTGAGCAGAGTATTACTGAGAATATATGCCGCAAAGTGTAAAGATCGTTTTCGTCTGTCGGTGTGTGACAGCAGGAATCACTAATAATGACTTGTTCTGCGATCGCAAGCTCCTACTGGATTCGCATGGAGTGGGTAGATCTTGAATATATTGTAGTCCTTAATTATTAAGTATTTTTAAAGTTAGTAACAGAATTTTACCTAAGTGCGATGTAAAAGAAATGATTGAATGTGAGATATTTAACAGCAATTTGCAGTATGTATTTCCAATTCGATACAGAGAAGATTAAAATAAACATACTTAAAGAAGAGGAACGTTAAAACTGTTAATCCTAATCCAATAATAGAAAGAATTAATCCAACATAGGTAATAATAGTTAGAGCCAGCTGATGACTATGTGGTACCAAATAATCTTGACCATAATAATCCTGAAAGAAAGTCCAATAATATTATGTAAAATATATTTCAGGGATAGTGAGAGTTTAATCTATAGCTATAGATTGTACAATAAATTAAAACGACCTTTAAAAGTAAGTCCGAGTGTACTATTGGCCAAAAATCGACAATGACGTCATCATCGCCATCTTTGAATTGTGAAGTCATACCAAACCTTAATTCAGCGAATCGCGGAATAGTTTTCTATCTTTCCTACCCATTGCTCTTTTCGAAGCATACCCTGTATCAACAGTTTTACCGGGCATTGGTCTGGGTGTTTAATTTACGTTTTCCAGGTAACAAAATATACAATAAAACACACAGTTTAAAGTTCTTACCAAAAGAACAGCAAAGTTTGTTAAATGATCACAAACACAGACGTCTCGTCCTTCTGTTGTATTCGCATAACGACAACCTTCACTCGACCAACCACCTCGAGAATTATTCAAATTAAAATCCCAAAATACACAACGACTGTATTTCTCTCTATATTTAGCTTGTAAAACCTGGAATAAAAAAACAACATCGTGTATAGACTACAATATTACAGTTCGTAGCGGTGATTATAATAAATCGTTTGGTGTATACTTGTTTGTTTCTAAAACAAATGATAACAAGAAACTATGTGTTGTACTCTTGTTTTAATAGGATGAGCCTCTGAAGCTTGTGGTAACCTCGGGACAAATGATCACAAGCAGACATGAACCAATATATTATTTTTACTTCTTCTATTTATACAACTTTCTTTATTGAATTTAAGAGTTTAGACTACTTTTTTTCTACATTTCACCGATGTGGTTACTTGTAGGCCTATAGTTGGATTTTACTACATATGCTTACATTCGTATTTCTTGTAGCATATAGCAGATCATGACTCATGCTGGCATTACACAATGGGTTCTTTAAGTTGTATTCCTAATTGTTTTCAAATTTAAGTGAAGTCTGTGTCACTACAGACCCGGGACTGTACAGCGCAGTGGACGCTTACGGCTAGCCCCCGGATCCATTCACTTTTTGGAATTGTCTGTATGTTTGTGTTTTCCTGAGTATGATGTCCTGTCCGTGTATTTGTTTTTGTGTAAATTTTGTGTGGTGCAGTCCCCCTGCACTTACTAATAGAGTTATTTTAATTATTATAGATCTGAGTTGTATGTTTCTATTTAAACAACTTTATAGAGTTTCTTTATTATAGATTCTTTAATGTATGTTTAATTTTATAGAATTTTCTTTTATATTTATATTCTTTTTTTATATTTATATTCTTTTTTTGTTGTTGTAATATATAGTGTACAGCGCACCAAAAACACACCGTTGTGTGAAAGCGTGCGCTATATAAAAAAAGTTTATAATTTTAATAATAATAAAATACAACTTACATTTTGTGGAAAGAAAACTGTGGTGACGAAAGAACCATTTAAATTTACAACAGTTTTTCTATCTATAGTTAAAGTAGCTGATATAACTTTACTATTAACTGTATCATTTTTATCATTGATAAACAAATTATTGGTACTTAATATATGCATAGATAGTCGTATATCAGTTGTATTCTTCTCTGGAATATTAAAACAATAATAAAATGGCACTGTGGATAAAACTAATCAATCGATACAGGTCTCAATAGACAAAAAATATTACTAAATGATCGAGACTCGACAACATGGCCTCCAGTTTGATAAATCGAAATAACCTATGAAGTACTTCCGGTCTCAATCAAAAACAGAGATTGTCCGCAATATCCCGAGGATGGTCAACAACATCCACAACAATATGTATGGTTTAAACAATATTTAGAGTTACCTTACCGTCTATTGTTCTTCTAACAAACTGCTTATTTAACAGAATCCCAACATCCGTTGTTTTGTAAATGAGTTCAATTTCTTCGTACAGCGACGATAGGGCATTGTTTTCAAATATCTCAACCGGATCAGAATCGTCACCATTTACCGACAGACCAATTATAGGGTTTCTCTTGAGTTTGGCCAGATTCCAAATTTCTACTACAGTTTTATTGGTTACTAATCTAAAACGTCCATCGTCGTTATTTGTTGGAATTCTCAGTTCGAGTTCATCTAAGCTAGCAATCAGTCTGAAATACAAGAGAACCACAATTATTAGTATTTCTACACATACACTATCTAAAGGGCGAGAGAGAGAGAAATGGGGTTTAACGTCCACTCGACACAAACTAGGTCATTTCGGGACTAACATATGGTTCAATTTTATTTCCATAATTCGCTTGCGCTAGGGGTCTTTAGCAATGGGAGAAAACCGGTGGACCCGGAAAAAACACAAGAGGTTGGACAGGCGACCCTACTCCTTGTCACGTACAACTGGGGATTCGAAACCACGCCAGTTGACTCAATGACAGGCTTTATGATACAGCGCGCACGTGCTAATTTTAAAACCAGTACACGCCGGTGTGTTCTTTATGCTCTCAAGCGCGATTTGTAATGCGGCGCCTTGATGAAATGTTAACCGAACTTCTGATGTAGACTGGATTAACCAGGCGCGAGCGACTGTCATTCAACGAATGAGACTGATTAATATGGTTTTCCTATTGTCCAGTCTATAATAACCTGTTTGACCGGTTATCCAGGTTAACTACGATTTTAATAGAGAGTCGACTATTTTGATCAGTCGGTAGGGAAACCTAGTAGATACATACAAGCAGTCAACCATAATTACTATCTGGGGATCACGTGGCTAAGTGGGTAAGACGCTGGCTCGCTAGCCTGGAGGTCGGGTGTTCGATCCCTGCATTGGCCGAGAAAGTTCATCCAGATTTTCCGGCGTGGTTTCCCCTTGTCAGTGATGCAGGATGGAGGGCCTGACAAGGACAGCTGTCTAGTCGTTCGGATGGGACAAAAAACCGAGGTCCCGTGTACACATTGGCGTGCACGTAAAAGATCCCTTGGCAGTTGGAAATCAATATAAGAGTAGACCATAGCGCCGCTGCCCGGGCAAAATTTCCCTCATAGCACACTGTATGGCGTATGCCTGTTTTTCATTAGCCCAGGTTAGGAGCAGAACAGTAGGACGTTAAACCCCATTTCATTTCATTTCATAATTACTATCTGGTTATACTAGTCACCATTTCTTTAAGTACCAGTAAACCAGTGGGCGGCTTCTTCCCTCATCGAAAGAATAAAATCTGGTCATTGTAGAGGATTTCTGAACTCAAACATTAAGCCGTTTAATTTTAAAATAATACCGATTGTTACGTTTATTATTCTAAATAATAAATCTTTAATCATGATAACAACTGAGTAACATTTAGTAAAATGGAAAGTACCATATTAAGTAACTGGAGTTCCCATGACAAATCTGTAGACTGGATAACCTGCTCTAAATGACGCCAGACTGGTTCCTACGTCACTGCGCTATTCTGATTTAAATATGAAAGTCAGAAAAGGAGTGACGTAGGAGCGAGTCTGACGTATTAGAGCAGGTTATCCAGTCTAAACAAATCTGGTGTCTCAAAAAGAGTAAACACACCCATCTTCGAGGGCGACACAGGCTAATAATAACAGAAAAAAAATGAAACGTGATTTATGTTTTCAGCTTTATCCGGGCTGATGAAGATGGGAATACCCAAATGCAGTGTGGATCAAGGGGAATTTTGCCCCGGGAGCTTCGCTACGGTCTACTATTATTTTGAATTCCATTTGTTAAGGGTTTTTTACGTTCACGTCAACGTGTACACGTGACTAGGGTTTCGTCCCATCCGAACAACTACAAAGGTGTGTGTGGGGGGGGGGGGGGGTCACCCCGGATAATCTTGTGGAGATGTCTCAGCCAACACCTAGTTCGGCAACATGGCTATCCAAGGCCATACTCACTTAACCAGCGCGGCTCTTAGAAGCATCATTGTTCATAATCGTTTGTCTGTTCAATATACAACGAACAGTAGGACGTTAAACCCCATTTCATGTTATTTCTATTGAATATATATTCTCTTTTTCATTTACTTGTTTGAAATGTTGACTTTCTCATTTGCTTCTGTTAAAACTTCTTCTTTAGAACTTTGTATATTGTTGATAATGTTGATGAAATTAATGGCGTCCTGAAAGAAAAGAATATTAAATATACAGTAAAATCTGTTTTAACGCTACATCTAATAATGATATTTGTCCACTCTTTTGTGAAACAACGAAAACACCTTTAAATAGCTTTAGTTTTTACATACCTTGCAGAACATATACAAGTATTTCTTATACACTCTGTCCACAGAGAAAATAAATAGTTTTGAAGTCTAAGAAAAGGGCGTTTAACATCAGATGGGAATATTACGATCAGAAGATGGGAATATTACGATCAGAAGATGGATGATGATCCGTATTAACTTGGCTAATATCACAATGGTCAGCACAGACAAATATATTGTGTAAAATAAATGAATGATATTATATACTTCAACGTATTATGTTTAAATTATACTGAGATAATATTGCCCATCTACACCTACCCATATACACACAATGAAAACAAAAAGGGGACAACATACATTCGTTTTAATTGTTAGAATAAAAAATTTAATCTTCAAGCAAGTAAATATGACGTGGTAATTTTCAATTCTAAATAAGGAAAGACAATATATAGCCATTGTGTATTTTCATTGAAAGCAGGTAATATATAATGTGTGATATCGACCCACTCGTTGTATAATATTAGTATATAATGTGGGATATGGACACACCCGTTTTGTAATATTGGTATTTATCACCCAATAACGCAATCTCCCGTAGGTATAGCTTGTTGATAAATTTCATAATCTACTGCGATATCTCCTTGGCCAATTAAAAAGAAACTACTTTTTGTTTATTTTCAAAGTACAATTCATTTTTTATTAAAAGTAACTTCATATTTTACTAAAAGTAACTTCTTTTTTTATTAAAAAGGAAATATTTTTTTTATTTAATTCACTCTATGGAAACACTTGGTCAATATAAAGGACTTTGCAATGGTTGAATTGCTGACACAAAATGATGTATGCCTTAATGTAATCAGGTTCAGTAAAAGTGAAATCTATAGCAAAGAATTATATTTATTTATTTGTGCAGGTAAGAAAGCATTGTGCGATAAATAATATCTCCTACACGATAAAAAAAAACTTTAGTTGATATTTTTTAATAGGAGATTCTCTATGTAATGTGTGATATGAACTCACCTGTTGTGTAATATTAATATAAAATGTGTGATATGAACTCACCTGTTGTGTAATATTAATATAAAATGTGTGATATGAACTCACCTGTTGTGTAATATTAATATAAAAGATGTGATATGAACTCACCTGTTGTGTAATATTAATATAAAATATGTGATATGAACTCACCTGTTGTGTAATATTAATATAAAAGATGTGATATGAACTCACCTGTTGTGTAATATTAATATAAAATATGTGATATGAACTCACCTGTTGTGTAATATTAATATATAATGTTTGATATGAACTCACCTGTTGTGTAATATTATCTGTTTTAGAAATACCATCTAATATGGCTGTAGTGTAGACCACATCCAGTGGCGTTAATTCCTCCGGCACAGAGGTAAAAACTTGGACTTTTACAAGATTTTTCTCCACATTATCTGTGAAATTACTCTGAAATTTGTAAAATACTACTATTGTATAATCCATAAGTGAGAGGTGGCATCGTGTATTCTAAATAGTCGTGAAGTGGTATCAAGTGGTCTAGAAAGAATAACAAGCGACCATGCATAATAAGTAGTATCAGATGTGAAGTGGTACCAGCCGTTCCGGAACGTACAACCACACGGACATGTATGGTTAGTAATATCTGGTGACAAGTGGTAGCGAGTGTGCATCAGGTACCAAGTGGTAGCGAGTGTTCTAGAACGTACAACCATATGTGTCAGTGTGCATCAGGTGTGGAGTGGTAGCGAGTGTACTAGAACGTATAACAAGGTACAACAATGTGCACCAGATATGGAATGGTAGAGACTGTTCTAGAACGTACGACAAGGTACAAAAGTGTGCACCAGGTGTGGAGTGGTAGAGACTGTTCTAGAGAACGTACAACAATGTACACCAGGTGTGGAGTGGTAGCGACTGTTCTAGAACGTATCACAAGGTACAATAGTGTACACCAGTGGAGTGGTAGCGACTGTTCTAGAGAATACCAACTAGAAATGTTTAAGCTATGTAAGCGACTTGAATGAAAATGATGTGTAAGTGAGAAATGTCTTACTATAATAGATCTATATTTATAACATGTTATTGCGGGTAGACTCAGCGTTAAGAAATATAATCTCATTGTGGGTGGGCCTCAAATAAATCATTAATTGGACATGATCAACTGTCTAATCTACGATTGGCAATAAATATTTTAATGAAAAACTGGATAATCGATTGCACTGTTCTTCAAATGGTGATAACTTCTCTCAGAATGAAGTAATTTGACTGAAAGTTTCAACATATTCCCTTTCCATTCTCTATTGTTATTCTATTATATAGTGATAACTGTCCGGTAATTGTGGGGTCGAATTATGCAAGAACGCATACCATTTCCTGCACATACTCAATTTTATAATAACGTACTTTATTATAGAATGAAATGTTGTTTTATGGTACGTCAGCACCAACCGGGATATATTATAGAAGGACGAGACATAAAACTTTCTTTTCTCAATCTAAGTACAAACAAATATGATACTTTACCTGGGCTATCGCCGACAGATTGGTAGTAACCTCTGATATAAATGATTCTTGAAAATTACAATTTTCATTAAAGGCCATCTTACTCCAGCGGGAGCCATATTTTCTTTGACCTAAACATTTTATTTCGCCTATAGGAGCACCATCTGAAAATATAAACCTATACTGTCCAAAACTCCAAGCTCATCAACACCTTTCATGGAAAGATTACCATTTCTCATAATAGTAAATGCAGGAAAAATGCATTACATACAAAACAAAAACGTCAAGATAAACCTGCGTACAAGACAAACTACAAAGATATTGCCCAAAAATATCAAATCAAGTGAACGGATCCAGTGTCAGCCGTAAACGTCCTCTCCGCTGTACAACCCCGGACCTGTGTTGACGCAAGCTTCACTTAAAATGGAAAAAAAAAAGATATTTCCAAGCAAGACGATGGTCGTTTCTTGAATGGCAATATAGTTTGCCAATGAACGTCATAAGATAGAACGTTAAGCAATTTTAACAATAAGGGCAATAATCCGGACAGAATCTCGGGAAACGCTAACCTATTCCTTTTTGTGATACATGACATACACTACACTGTTTCTCTGAATTACTTACAATGTTTTGGACCAAGAACTAACTTGTTATTGTTCTTTATCATTGAGGCGGCGCTCTTAGACTGAAGATTAAGGCTCCGGCAATTGAAGTACGATTGACAAGAAACTTGATTTTGTGTCATGACGTTACATTTACAAGATGGCGGCGATGGCATCAGGCAGGATTCATGGTCCATAATTTACTATCGTAGCTTGTTATACCTGTATTTTAATCCCCTCTCCAGATTGTATAATACAGAATGAGTTTCAAGTTATCAACTGTTACTTACCGACAACACAAATTTCATCTGTTTCCCATGTCTGTCCATGACTTGTTTCTGGTATTCTGTATTCAACTTCCACACCAGTATGATTACTAATTATAGTCGTCTCGGGACAAATATCTAACAAAGCAATAAACATAGTATCATTATTAACAATAATTGTTGAATATAGTCAACTTCATTGTTTAGGGATATTATTCTTTAGAAGTGGAGGTATAACATTTATAACGTAGCATGTAATAAAATAAAAGGTAGCAAGTCCATACAGTTGTCTTATTATGAATTTAAGGATATATTTATATCTTGAACAATATCGATTGATCGATATGTGAATGAAACTTTAAAATTATTTTAGATTTTACATTTAACGTTAACGTTAAACATTTACCTCGACAGATTCATTTTTATTTATTTTTGACTCAGATCAAAGAGAGATTGATTTTTTTCTTGGAGACTCTACGACAATTCAACAAAATGTCCTACGATACAGATAGTTCCGTGGGGTCACGGTGGGTAAGACGGGTGTTCGATCCCTGCATTGGCCGAGAAAGTTCATCCAGATTTGCCGGCGTGGGTCCCCCTGGTCACGGAGGGCCTGACAAGGACAGTTGTCTAGTCGTTCGGATGGGACAAAACACTGTATGGCGTATGCCCGGCTTCATTAGCCGAGTTCGAAGCAGAACAGTAGGATGTTAAACTCCAGAAACAAGTAAAGGGCAATTGTTCTAAAGAGAAATGCAAATAATCCAGGAAAAAGTAAAGGGCAATTGTTCTAAAGAGAAATGCAAATTCAAAGTCCATTAGATCGATCCGGCTTTACAGAGTCTTGAGGTTTGTCTTCGGGCCTGTCATAGGTGAAATGACAATAGACGACAAGGTTCTGTTTGCAAACCTTCAAATTTAAATTATATATTTGTACTGAATCAAAAGCGGAAGTGAACCCGAGAACTCCTGACCAGTGAGCCATTGTGTCACCATGGCTACCGAGATTGATATAACCCAAACCTACATCCAAAAACATGGCGGGTCAGCACATACATACCTGTTCGGGAAAATTTAACCAACGCCTTTTCACCCTCAACAAATAGTGGCTCTCTAACCAATGCTATCCGCCGTAAAAGTCTATCTCTGGCTTCTTTTAAAATACCATCCTCGTCTTTAGGTTCATCTGGGTTGTTAACTGGATGATAAAACATTTGAAAGTCCACATAGCGACCACCGGATCTGTTAATATAAATATATCTAGTCACAATCACCCAGTCACCACAAAATATAATTTGAAATGAAGTACGGTCATGTTACTTTTCGTTTTCCCATTCCAGTTGTGACCGGATCGACATCTGATTTTAGCCAAATCCGAAGGACACTTAAATATTTTCCGCGTTGTTACGACTCTAGGTTTTAATAATTGCCCCCTATTATACCAAAGTACAAATTCAAGTCCCTGCTTTTTGTTACGGCTTTGGGGAGATGGTGGGATGGAACATAATGAGTTTACCTATGGTCTAGCCTGGTAGTTATATAAATCTATAAGATATGTATTTACGATGTACATCTTTCTGTATAGATCTGTGTTTTTGATAATTAACCAAATCCGAAGCGGTCTTAAATATTTTCCGCTTCGACACAGCTCTAGATTGTAAACCGTGCCGTCCACGACTAAGTCAGACGCCTAAATTACAAACTCAGTCTATACGATAATTAATTCAGATATCGATATACAAACTCAGTCTATACCATAATTAATTCAGATATCGGTATGAACGGTTTATATTTATCCCAAAATTTCATTTAAATCCTGAAATCTGTAAATGTACAATATATAATTATATTCCCGGTTTGTTATACTGTACCTGAAACGACTTATTGTGGTGTTCACACCTCCATTCATATCGTTTAAGCCAATGTTGAAGCTTCTGACCAGGGGGGACCACTCTCGTAAAACATTGTATCTAAGAGCACTGGATTTATCAATATATTCAGAATTTACTTGTATCGAGCCAGTGTAGATTTTAATATCTGAAAACACACAACAAACAATTAGATTCCTTTACAAATTATAGAATGTTTAAATAAGGGAGAGAGAGAGAGAGATTTCATACGCACGCGCAAACCCATAAAACAAAAAAGATACACAGGCATATAAACAACGAACACAGGGAGCAGAGAGAGAGAGAGAGAGAGAGAGAGAGAGGGTTTACGTCCACTCGGGACTAACACATGGTTCAATTTTATTTCAATAATTCACTTGCGCGTAGGGGGCTATGACAGTGGGAGGAAACCGGAGGACCCAGAGAATACCCACGAGGTTGGACAGGCGACCCTACTCCTTGTCACATACAACCGGGGAATCGAAACCCCGCCAGTTGACTCAATGACAGACCGTATGATACAGCGCGCGCGTGCTAACCCTTCAGCCATCCAACCCGCCAGGGAGAGAGAGAAGAGATATGGGGTATAACGTCCACTGGAAACAAACTAGGTCATTTCGGGACTAACACATGGTTCAATTTTATTTCAATAATCCGCTTGCGCGGAAAGGCGACTCTACTCCTTGTCACGTACAACCGGGGAATCGAACGGCTTAAATGATATTTTGTTACTTTTGGTTGGTAATGGATATAAATATAGCAATCGGAGGAAACCGGGGGACCCGGAAAAAAAACAAGAGGTTGGACAGGCAACGCTACTCCTTGTCACGTACAACCGGGGAATCGAAACCACACCAGTTGACTAAATGACAGACTTTATGATACAGCTGCCAACCAAACCCCCCTGTTTCAATAAGGAAATGATAAGTTTACACAAAAAAAAAAAAAAAAAAAAAATCAGCAGAATTATTTTGAGTAATTGGCATCTGAGTGCCGCGTTGACCTCTAGCTGGCGATTGTGATTTCGATCCCTGGTGTGAGCGTAGATAAAAAAAATGAAATTAAGACAACTTGTCTGCGATATCACCTTGGGTGGAAGCGGACGTTAAACACTAAGAAGAAGAAGAACAACAAATGAAAACCGTCTATTGATCGATTACAAGTCTGTGAGGGTAAATTACGCCCACCACATGACAAGCCTAATAATATTCTAACATATAAATACTTACTTAATATATTGATGTGAATTTTACTCGATTGTTTTATTGTGTTCGTCTTCAAGTCGACAGCCTCACACCAGTAATATCCTAATGCACCATATACTGAGTCACCGTCCCGGAACTCATATGAATACTTCCTACGAAACTCACCATAATATATGCCCAGGTCGACGGTGTTTGAAGAACTGAACGAATCTAAATATGCTCCGTCCTTAACCCAAGTCAGTTTCTGAAGTTGGCTAATCAGACTGGGCAGTGAACAACTCAAACGCAGTAGTCCTTCGTTAGACATTCCTAGAAGCACGGCCTCTGGCACACTTATCTCCCTTAGACCAGGTCGAATGTATGTAAGAGTAGCTGATTGAATTGTGTTATTACTTAGCCTCGGTTGACCCTTTGGAATACCTTAAAATACATAAATATAGCATAAATGGTATTTACAAGTCCATAAATACAAAGTGACACAGTAGTGTAATATTAGATCAGGAGGAACATGAGGATGGGACTGAGGAGGAGTCTGTGAGTAGCTTCGGGTGGCCTTAAATAAGTCAATGATCTTACGTAGTTTAGGGAGCCTGTTTAGTCTTGAATTTACTTGCAAAACTAGTTTTTTTTACAATGTAATTCAAACAGTCCGTCCCCTAGCCTTACCATGACAAAATATTATTATGTGTTTCAAGTAACATACTCTATCTTGGGTGAAATACCCGTCACAACTAACATGATTTTTTTAAAAAAAAAAAGATTAGGAGAAATTTAAATTTGTAGTGAATAATTATTAAGCAGAACAAACCATACAATCTACACTGAATGAAGGCAGACCAGCGTTAAATTTCGCGATTGACGTTCCCTACAACAGTACGCTACTCGATTCTTGACCAGAAAGAAAAGAAAAGACAATACCGTGGAAAGTCATGAAAAGTGAGAACGAGAGAATTGCTATAACTTACTTGGATAATTTACAGGACGGGAACAAATATATCCTAGCTGTTTCTCACAATCCCAGTCAATTGTTTGGTTTGAGGTCGTCAATAAAGCCCGACAACCCTGTTCATCTGTTGTCTTTATCCACACTAGATCACCCTTCTTACCTGGATTGTAAAACAAAATGTTTACAGGATTCAGGTTTTGTACAATTGGGTAGCAATTTAAACGGTAACATACATGTAATTGATTGGTAAAAATCTAGAGCCTTATCATGAAATGAGGTTGTAATATATAATCTAGATTATAATATATAACCTAGATATAATCTAGATTGTAATATATAATCTAGATTGTAATATATAATCTAGATTGTAATATATATTCTAGATTGTAATATATAATCTAGATTGTAATATATAATCTAGATTGTAATATATAATCTAGATTGAAATATATAATCTAGATTGTAATTTATAATGCATCGACTTAGAGCCAAGCCTTTTATAGCACTCGTCGTTGAATATTATGACAATAAACTGCAGACCAAAATATGCGCGACACTTGGTGGAATAAATATCCAAGTATGGCCAGCTTAAGGCCGATGGACGGACATCATGTAGAATATTTATAATCTAATAACCGACGTAGTTTGTAACCTAACACCCTACCTAGTATAAGCAAATAACTGGAAATTATTTTTCATCGAAGGGCGAAAAATCTCCAAAGTTCCATACAGAAGACCTGCTTCCTCCAGGGAATTCAGCCCGTGTGCAAAAGGACCCTGGCCATGACGAACAATATGCTTATAAGTTGGGGGGTTTTTTTCTATGAGAAGGCCACGCCTATCTGCAGTAGTTTCGGTTTGACATCGTTTCATGCTATTTTCTCTTTGTTATAAAACACGGGTTAAATACCTTTAGCATACATCGGACTATTCAGTATCATGGTTGACCAATTTAACTCGGCTGCCGTTTCAACTTTCATAAGATCACCTTCCTCATCTAAACACGATTGATCAGCACTTGGTCCAGTTGTAGCATTGGTGAAAAGCTTGTAGCAGAAATCATGGGTATATGTCCCTAACCACCCGTTGGGACAAATTGAAACTGAAATGAACGTATTGTACAGAATCAAATTTTATGTTAAAGAGCGGAACAAGAGATGTTAGTTCGTCAACTTCCGGTCTATTTGACTCCTTCAGACAAGTGGATGACCAAAGCGTTATCGGGCCCGTACCCCCGACATTGATAAGGTAGCCACTAACATGTCTTTCGTTCCTCCGTAGGGTTTTACGTCCACTCCCACCTTGGGTGATATCGCAACATGTCTCGATAATCAGCTTTTAGAACTGATTTTTTTTTAGAAAGCGTTGATTAATACACTGACTGTGATTGGTCGACTTCATTTCAACCTACCAATCAAAATTCTCATAGAGCCTAAACCTAAAACAAATGTTGGTATAACTTGACGAGTGCTTTTACATAACATTCAGAGATCATTCGTCTCTTATATAATTATAGGCCCTACATTTCACAGTAATCGTATGTACAGCCAAGGGAGATAACTTTAACAACTATTTTGCGTAAACAAACTCTTTCACCACTACATTATGATAAACCAACGTGAGCAGGGTTATTATTATTTTTGGTATAAAACATTAATTATAAAAAGAAACCTAGTTATCTAGGTTGCTAAATATATACTCTTAAAAAAAGTAGGCGATATTCAGAACCAATAAAAAAAACTGCGGAAATGCACTGCTGTTTTTATTAGAGGTAACCAGTGTATGTTAATAACAGGCCAATTGCCTACACATGAACATAAACAGTTCATATGGGCGGCTTATCTGACGGTCCCATTTCACTCGCAAAGAGATACACTGTCAAAAGTGAAAATGAACGTTTTTCCTTTTTTTGTCTTAATAATGAGTAATTGCTCCATCAATCCTCAGACATTCAGCAGTTCGTCGTGGCATGCTCCTAATTAACCGCCAAATCACGATTTGGGGCAATCTGATCCACTCCTCTTGCAGTGCCACGGCCAACACTTGCAGTGTTGTCGGTTGACGTTGACGTCGACGAACACGTCTCCCCATCAAATTAAACGTAACACACTAAAACAAAGATACGCTAAACAGTAAATATTATGCAAGAACCGATAGGAAAGCAAACATGGATAGGATAAACCAGCAAGCGGCAGTTTTCATGTTTTCATAAACCTTTCCTTGAAGTGTCAAATTTGACAATGAACCCCTCCCACGTGTATGGCGCTATTGCGTGTCGCACATGCAGCTCAGTGGTTATGTTGGGGCGATAAGTTCTTCATCTGTGAACATACTCTCAAAGCATGTCAAGTGTCCATGACTATTTATCATATCAAAACCTGCATAGGTATTTGAATTTCAATATCCCGTACTTTTTTTGAAGAGTATATATGAGCACGTCTAATCATCTGTAACCAACCCATATCGATCATCGAATACCAATATGGGACCATTCCTTCAAGTAAAACACATAGTTATTATTTACAAACATTGTACCAGCATAAATTATACTTACTGTCTGTCCCCGAACCACCAGGTGACTCTATTGACTCCTCAAATGGGATTTCTGAAAATGTATTAATCTGTCGAGAACAAACGAATGGCTGTTTCTTGGAACAATCTGTCAATTCATATTCAATCTTGGGAATGTTGAGAATATTAGGCTCGTTCGGGCCAGGACTGGCACCCGAGCCTTCAGCCGGCTGCTGCTCTTGTGTTGTAGTCACATAGGATATATTATATTCCGTGCATCCCGAGTCTCGGTTGATTAATATATCTACACTGAAAATAAAGAATATGTTTAATTACATTTTCAATCCATACGCAACACAATTTCAGGACTAACAAGTTGCTGTTGCAATAAATCACAGACCTAAATATGTTTTACAGTGTGTGTGTGTGAGAGAGAGGGAGAGAGAGAGAGGGAGAGAGAGAGGGGGAGCTGGGATTAACGTCAATTCGACCCAAAGTAAATCATTTCTAGGACATCATGCGGTTTATTTTCATTTCAATATCTTTCTTGCGGTTAGGGGTCTTTAAAAGTGGCAGGAATCCTGATGACCCAGAGAAAACGCACGAGGTTAGACTCGTCACGAAACACTTGAGCTGGAAAATGCACCACTTACCGTATGATCTGAAACACAAGATTAGGTCAGTAGACCACCAACCAAGTAGGTGTTTAGAAATACCTTGGAAAACAGAAGATAAGGTCACTAGACTACCAACCCTGCACGTGTTTAGAAATAACTTTGAAACATTAGGCTGCTGATGCTACTCATTGCCAAGTACAAACAGATATCAAACTGGTCCTAACGACAAATATTAAGTATGGTCGTTAAGTGACAATATTTCTAAACACAAGTACATGTTTGTCTTGCACTGGATAGAGTATACTAATCATTGCAGAACATCAAATACCACTTATACGTTATTCGAGACGTATACAATATTGTTTTACAGTATTTACCGTTCATTGGCCTCATTCGCGAAATACGTTTTCATTTCCTTAATATCTTGTTTAACTAATCTACCATCTTTAACAAACTCTGCGCTCCAACCGGCTCTTATACCTGGAAAATTAGTAAATAAATAAATAAATATCAAAATCTCCTCTCCAAGCGCTTTTTACACCTGATAAAATAATCCCTGTAAACAAATATAGTGGTCCGTTCTGTCTTCATCAAACACTCCTCTCTTACTACACCCAAACAATTGGGTACTACGGTATTAAAAAACAGTGATCAGAGTACTGCGATATGTAATACAAGTCTATCAGTTTACAGTTATAGTGGTCAAGGTATTACGATATCCAACTTTACCATGATCAATTTGATGATATATGGGGACAATATGATCTATTTGGTTAGACACAGATTAATTCGAATAATAGTTTAACTCAAAACAGCTGTTCCCCCAATCTGATTAAAGGCTCAATACCACTCTTGTTGTAACTGAATAATATGTCCCAATCTTTATTCTGGTCAACAAATTGTACTATTTTACAATATTCCAATTAATTGATGATACAAATTTAATCTTCACACACCTAATTTAAAAAATTGGAAAAATTAAAGTAAATGATTTGAAAAGCCTGACGTAAAGCTTTTCAAATGTGACTTGGATTTAAAAATATTTTTGAACCCTCTGGACAAGTAAAATAGGGTTTAATGGATAATTTACACAACAGGTAGGACACTAACACATCTAGTACTTAGAATAAGGCGATTTTTTATTTTCTGGGGTTGTCAAGCCAGCAAGAGTTTTATTGTCCCTTTAAAACACAGATCCTATTTCATTTTGTTCTTTATAGTTCAAAATTCGGTTTATTTTTCTTCACTACAGTGACCTCTGAGGCGACCTACCACTACAACCTATCAGATGTTATGCGGAGGAGGTCACTGAAATTATAAAAAAAATGAAACAAAATATGGATTTATATTTTAATCAAAATAGTGTCAATTTTAGGCTGCTATCTTTGGGGTAGTTTAATTCAAATCACGCATTTCCAAATCCTGTTACTTCAACCAGTATTTTATATAAACAAAATTTGATTCAGATATCTATTTGAATAACGATTGGGAAACAGGCAAACAGTATACTGGTCGCACCGTTTCACCAGTATACTGGTCGCACCGTTTCACCAGTATACTGGTCGCACCGTTTCACCAGTATACTGGTCGCACCGTTTCACCAGTATACTGGTCGCACCGTTTCACCAGTATACTGGTCGCACCGTTTCACCAGTATACTGGTCGCACCGTTTCACCAGTATACTGGTCGCACCGTTTCACCAGTAAACTGGTCGCACCGTTTCACCTCCTTTCTACAGATGTGAGATCTGGAGTGAAAAATATGTCAGAATGATTGTAGAAAGAAAGCGAAATTATCAATGGGGGTAAGGCGTGGGATGGGGGCGACACCCCCCCCCCCCAAAAAAAAAAACAACAAAAAACCCTCAATAGTGGCTTTGTAATCTACCCTCACTGATGCATACCGAAGATCACGTGTTCCCATCTTCCGGCGAATCATAATTACTTCATTAGCTCAAACTTGAGCTGTTGTGTTGTCCGTGGAAAATTCTGGTGAATTCAAAATCACTTTAGTTCACGATATATGAAATAAAATGAAATGGAGTTTAACGTCCTACTATTCTGCTCCGAACTGGGCTAATGAAGACGGATATACGCCATACAGTGTGCTATGAGGGAATTTTTGCCCAGATCGCGCCGCTACGGCCTACTCTTACATCGAATTCCAACTGCCATGGGATCTTTTACGTGCACGCCAATGTGTACACGGGACCTCAGTTTTTCGTACCACCCGAACGACTAGACAGCTATCCTTGTCAGGTTCTCCGTCCGGCACCACTGACAAGGAGGAACCACGCCGGAAAATCTGGATGAATGTTCTCGATCAATGCAGAGATCGAACACCCGACCTGCAGGCTTGCGAGCCAGAATCTTACCCACTTAGCCACCGTGACGCTCAGTTCTCAATACAATCAACGTAATACCTACCGTTATCATACAAAAACTTATAAACTTGGTTGCCGTACAAATTAGACATAATTTTAGCATGGTTTTGGTGACAGTATTTTCTGGCTTCTTCCATCGTTGATGAGGAACCAATCAGAACACACGGACCTCGCAGTGATGTCTTTACCCACCCATCTTCACATGTATCTATTGAGTAGAAATGTAGTATTTACGACATGCTATCTTCACATGTATCTATTGAGTAGAAATGTAGTATTTACGACATGTATCTATTGAGTAGAAATGTAGTATTTACGACATGTATCTATTGAGTAGAAATGATTAGTACAATGAAATATAAGCGACATGGAAAACAGAAATGATTAATTGAATGAAATATTTGCGAGATGGGGGCCAGAAATGAGAATATATTTTACTAGAACTCACCCGACTGCTAAAAATTCTTAAAGTTGTGAATTCGTTTCTTTTTTTTATTATTTTTTTATTTTTTATAAGGAATATTTTTCTTCAGATTTGTATCTGAATAGGGATTGGAGAACAGGCATAGTGAAAGTGAAAATATAACAATGATGCAGTGTGTTAGTTGTCCCTGGAATAGTCTGGTGGTTTCGAAAAACGAATGGACAGTTTTCCGTGCCGTCAGTTCCGTGCAATAAGATAGTGGTATTCGATGGATAGTAGGTTAATTATTTATAACATTAGTTCGGGCATCTGATTATAAGGAGCACGCGCTAACCATTCGGCCATCCAACCCCCTTTTAAAGTGAGAAGTTTGGGAAGTCACTCTTAAACTACAAAACATATATATATATACTCTTCAAATAAGTAGGGGATATTCAGAAGCAATACAAACCTGCGGAAAAACACTGCTGTTTTTATTAGAGGTAACCAGTGTGTGTTAATAACAGGCCAATTGCCTACACATGAACATAAACAGTTCATATAGGCGGCTTATCTGACGGTCCCATTTCATTCGTAAAGAGATACGCCGTCAAAAGTGAAAATTAACCATTTTGATTTTATCTTAATAATGAGTAATTGCTCCACCAATCCTCAGACATTCAGCAATTCTTCGAGGCATGCTTCTAATCAAACGTCCAATCACGATTTGGGGCAATCTGACCCACTCCTCTTGCAATGCCACGGCCAATTCTTGCAGTGATGTCGGTTGACGTTGACGTCGACGAACACGTCGTCTCCCGATCAAATTAAACCTAACACATTATAGCAAAGATACGCTAAACAGTAAATCGTATGCAAGAACCGATATGAAAGTAAACATGGATAGATAAATCAGCACGCGCCAGTTTTCATCAACCCTTCCTTGAAGTGTCAAATTTGACAATGAACCCCCCTCCCGCGTGTATGGCGCTATTGCGTGTCACATGCACAGCCCAGTGGTTCTGTTGGGGCGATAAGTTCTTTATCTGTGAACATACTCTCAAAGCAAGACAAGTGTCCATGACTATTTATCATATCACAACCTGCATAGGTATTTGCATTTCAATATCCCCTACATTTTTTGAAGAGTATATTATACAAGTAAAATATAGAAAGAACACTATAATTACACACAAAATAAGATAGAATGCAGTTGCAAGTTAAATATACGCGAAAAATAATAAGTATGTCATCAGTTGAATATTATGGTTTCTTCAGTAGAGGGCAATGATGAAAAAAACTTGTGACCTTTTTTTTCCCAAGTTGTTGACAATAAATGTTACTTGTTGCCAATAAGTGTTACTTGTTGACAATAAACGTTACTTGTTGCCAATAAGTGTTACTTGTGGACAATAAATGTTACTTGTTGACAATAAATGTTACTTGTTGACAATAAGTGTTACTTGTTGACAATAAGTGTTACTTGTTGAGAGTGTTACTTGTTGATAATAAGTGTTACTTGTTGATAATAAGTGTTAATTGTTGATAATAAGTGTTAATTGTTGATAAGTGTTACTTGGATGTTAGATTAGCCCCCCCCCCCCCCCCCGGTCTTAGTGTTCAAACGGGGAATTCCCCTCTGATCGAGTGAGCTATTACCAACGTTTCTAATGCATTAAAATATAAAAGATGTGGTGTTTACCTTGATATAAAGACGGTGTTATTACACATGAAACGTTGCATATCACCACACCTATCCATATCACAGTTCTCCACATCCTGAAATAAACAAATAAATAAATAAATATATAACTCCAAATACACGAAACCACACAAAAATATAAATAAACACACATGTAGATACATAATCAGAAATAAACACACAAATAACGACACACACAAACACACATAACAACACACATAACAACACACAACCACAATCCCACCGAACACAAATAATCACATAAAAAAACACATATAACCACAAAGGCCACAAATTACCACATAAAACAACACAAATAACCACATACAACAGCACAATTAACCACATACAACAACGTAAATAACCACACACAACACTCACAAATAACCACAAAGACCACAAATAACCACACACAACAGCAGAAATAACCACACACATCAGCACAAATAACCACATACAACAACACAAAAAACCCACATACAACAACACAAATAACCACATAATAACCACAAATGACCACACAGTTACATAGACCTAACTACATGTATATGAATAAACACCCATACAGATACATAACCATACATATAACCACACATGTATAAATAACTCACATATTATACATAAAAACACATAGAATTGAACAAATATATATTTAGGCATTTACTACTCCTCGTGTCTTTATTATGAACAACATGAGTTGGACCACTCAAAGCGCGGGGAGTGAATTTAGTTTGCTGTTAACAAACAAACTATTCTTAGTAGGTAATTGAACGTGTGAACGGGATATCAGGGTTAGATGACTGGGGAAAATCCATTCATATACAATTATTGTATATCAAAGAATCTATTTCAAAAGAGCATCGTCATCACCGTCGATTTAATTGAAATCTAAACAATGTAAAACTCGTTTAACAACAGATATCTTCAACCAATAAGATGGCTGAACGATTCTAACAGGATACAGATAGCAACGATTTCATGGTATATAATGTATCTTTTATCCACGGGTTGATGGTCCGTGTGAGAAATCTTATGTTTATTTAGCTCCGGCATGAGCTTCATCCCTAGCCATTGGCAACATCCTTCTTGTAGATCTTCCACAATACCGATTCAGCCCTTACATCGTATATAGAACTCTAATGCCCTATCACCCAGATCTAGAGTCATCACACCCATTCTATAAGTTTTCCATTGGCTCCATGTTTCTTACTCTAAATGGAGTCACGGTGAGTAAGACGCTGGGTCGCTAGCCTGGGGGTAGCGGGTTCCATCCCGGTGTTGGTCGAAAAAGTTCATCGGTATTTTCCGGTGTCGTTTCCCCTTGTCAGTGGTGCAGGGCGGAGGGCCTGACAAAGACGGCTGTCTTTTCGTTCGTATCTGACAAAAACTGAGGCCCCGTGTACACATTGGCGTGCACGTAAAAGATCACTTGCCAGTTTAAATTCGATATAAAAGTGGGCCGTAGCGCCGCTGTCCGGACAAATTTTCCCGGACAGAACAGTAGTACGTTAAACCCCGTTTTATTTCTTACTCTAAATTTCAAATGTGTAAATGGGACCGTTATTAAATATCTTTTTGTCTGTTATTGTCTTGTATTGTACTTCAATCAAAGGCTGTCTTTTTAAACAAGCGTTGGAATTCTGGTACAATGATGGACGTCAATTTTAAATTATTAATATCCTTACAATTAATGTCATTCCTCGTTCCTTATTTAATTTCTAACACGCCACTGACAAAGGGGTTATTTTTTCAAAGGGACAATAATCCTCTCCAATCACCTCCTTTTATTGTATCTAATTATAATATCTTATGTCATCCTCAATCGTCTGCATCCAAATTTTCTTTGTTTTACAATGCGAGACATACATTTATTTAACGTCCACTTCCACCGAGGTGATATCGCAGACAATTTTTTTTACATTGTTCAGCTGTTCTTTAAATTAAGGAAGCCTATTCCGGCCATTTTATAATCTCGATTTTATTCGCCCTAAACTTCTCGCTATCTCGCCTTTAAAGATCATTGCATTCTCGCACCCTCGACTTCTCGCTTTCTTTCTAGCCATCGACGTCTCAACTCGCTTCTCACTTTCTTGCCTTGGTACGCATGTTCACTGACTACCACCAGTAGCACAATTTACCCAAGCGCACACAAATCTACCCAAGTCGCGATTATGAAATGGCAGCAATAGGCTTCCATAATAAATAGTTACGAACGTCTGCGGACTAAACTGTTATTTTTAATTTAATAAACGATTGATGTTGTAGGTAAAACGTCAACATCGTTACATGCTATCAATATTAAATCACCCTCAGATATCATTCTTAAGGACAAACTTTATTCACCTGTAATTGGATATAGAGACAATCTTGAGTGTCAATTTCATAATCCATTTGTGAGCTTATTATATAACAATAAGAATTTTTACCAATGTGTTTAAACTTGCGTGTGACGTACCTCTCCGATCAATCCGCTGTTGGAGAGAGAGAGAGAGAGAGAGAGAGAGAGAGAGAGGGGTTTTAACGTCCAAACTAGATCATTTCGGGACTAACACATGGTTCAATTTTATTTCGATAATTCGCTTGCGCGTAGGCGTCTTTAGCAGTGGGAGGAAACCGGAGGACCCGGAGAAAACCCACGAGGTTGGACAGGAGACCCTACTCCTTGTCACGTACAACAGGGGAATCGAAACCACGCCAGTTGACTCAATGGCATCTTTATGATACAGTGCGCACGAAGGATACAGCGCACACGTGCTAATCATTCAGCCACCCAAACCCCCTCATACAAAATGAAAAACAAACTAATATAAGTAAAGTAATCCCAGAAAAAGAGGTAATATATCCCAAACGTTTTATCGCAGCACTAGTGTCTGACTGTCATTAAGTTCATTTTGCCATTAAATTAGCGGTCTTTTATATTTTAATTTCCCGGATGTGTACTTGACAACTGATTGCCTGTTTTGTGCCGCTTCGTGAATATTGACTTATCAACCGAGTAATTTTAATATGAACTTGGGTCTTATTCTACACTGATTACCAGATACACCCTAATTCACCCAAGGTTAAATGAACAAAATATATCCACAATATAAATATGTTATCATCTATCACACCCTGAAGGGAACTTTATCAGTTTAAAGCCATCCAACCGTTAAGATTGAGATTTAATTTCTTTTTACAAATTTATTTTTTGAAGACTCTCGGTTGAATTAGCTATTATGGTGGGTATCGTATAGTACATATAGTGTGCTTACTATTTCTGGAACACTTTGTAACACTTCGCATTGTGTTGGGGAGATTCACATAGTTAACAATATTCGTCGTTGTGTTATTGTTTAATTGTTATGTTACATCCGCTGGTAACACAAGGATAGGCCATATTGCCTCCCTACCACTAAAGCGTTTGGATGATATATAAAGTTATTCCACTAAATATCATCTACTAATTCTCATCAGTTGGTTAGCAATGATTCTGGTTCCTTTTATTTATACCTTTTCCACTCCAGGGAGTCACGCATGCTCAGTGAGCAAGACGCTGGCTCACTAATAAATGTTGGCCGAGAAAGTTTGCCCGGAATTCCCCAACGTGGTTTCCCATTGCCAGTGATGTAGGAACGAAGGTTCTGGAAAGGTACAGTCTTTGAATTTTTATCTAGACCAGTTTCAGGACGAGAAAGCGTCATGTCATCCCCCGAAACATGCACAAAACGTTGCGCATTGGATGATTAAAGGCATCCCTAAGCCTGCTCATTCTTTCATATTAATCTGTTTTCAGTTAATTATATGTGTAATCAATCAAACTCGAAACGATGGACTGATTTATAAGATTTTTTTTCTATATTAAATAATTTTATCGTGTATAAATGTTAAGCATGTCTATAGACATATTTAACAAACAGTAAATTAATGGTGATACAAGAATGGTGTGGCGGATCAGAATTCGTTTGTGAACAAACTAAATTGACGCAAGGCATGCAAAGCCCACCCCCGCCCCCACCCACATACAGGGCTAGTCGGATGTAATGATAATTGGGGGTCCCATGTACACGTTCGTTAGCGTGCAATAAAATAAATCTTGACAGTTGGAATTCTAAATAAGAGTAGGCCGGGCAAATGTCCTCTATACCACACCGTGTGGCATGTGTGCATTTTCATAGCACACCGTGTGGCAAGTTGAAAAGGTTTATTTCTACAGTATTCGTACCTTTCCGGTGAGTTTTGTGGTATGGTCAACAAGGACTTTGCTTCGTCTACGTCTGGATTATTTCTTGGCCCAGTTAAAAACGTGTAGTATTTCTTCGAAAATTTGACCCCATCCTAACCGTATCTATTACATCCGTATACTAGTTTTCCACGTAGGCTACATGTAATTCCACGTTTGCTTTAGTATGGCTATGGGCTCTCGAAGAACCACTTTAGAAAATGATCTATAAAAATAATACCTTGAATGTAATCAAAATATAAAAAGCTGATTATGGCCCGGCTATTTAATATTTACATTTCTGAACAGAGGTAAAACCAGCAGTATTTCGTGCATACAAGCCCATCCACTCTTTATATACTCGTATGTTGTGGTACTTGAGTTTCCTTTATCAGGCTATAATAACTGCCTTTAAATTTGCTTTTACATCCCCTTAAAGATACATTATGGGAGGCATTATGACAATTCTCGCTATAATAGTTAAAAACTTGATAATGTAAACTGAATTTGCTGAACATTTCAGTCGAATTAATTCACTCTGAGCCGAGAAGTTAGCTCTTGAATTTTGGGCCTAGCCTCGATCATCATTACTAAAGTCGGTACGATAAAATACGTAGTCTTGATTATCCACTTCTTGGTTTTATCATGAATGAGAGTTGAGTAGCAGATCGGGGTCCTATTTCAGTAAATATCGCAGGCTAGCGATGACATCGAGAGTTGATTATGGTCTGGATAGGTTATTTAATGTCTAATTATTACTTCTATAACAGGTCTTTATTGTGCCCTCAAATGTTATATAAACTATTATTTAGACATTTATTAACATTACAAGCCAATAATCAACTTTCTAGGACATTGAATGGTCGGGTCTTAAAG